AGGGTGATGGTGACATTCTTTTCAGGCTCCTTCACTGGCCGGCGCTCTGGGTCATAGTTGTCGAAGAGATGGTGGTAAAGACGCAGCTCCTCGTTCTTCGCCTCACCTCCACCTGGGGATGGGGTCAAGCGGTGGGCTCGCTGCAGAGGAAGGGCTGGGGGGAGGGGCTCTCTGCTGCCTCCGGGTCTGCACAGGGCTCTGCTGCTGTGTCCCTGAGCTCTGTGCTCTTCCCTGTCTCCTGAGCCAGACACCGAGCCTGCTTCTCGGTTTCCCGTCTTTGCCCCGTCCCTGGGCGTCCCTATCCCCGTGCGTGTGGCCGACCCTTGTCCCTACCGAGGAGCTGCAAGAGGAGCAGGGTGCCCAGCAGAGCCCCTGCCATCGCGCTGTCGGGTCCTCGGGGTTATTCTGAGCCCTGGCAGGCTTTAAGGGAGCAGGCCAGGGTGTGGGAGGGAGGGAGGGGGGGTGTTAGTTCCGGGCTGGGTTAGGGGACTGTCACCTAATCCTCTTCCCACCGCTACTGCAGCCAGAGACATTTGGCTGCTCCCAGAGGCAGCTGCCCCATCCCAGCATCCTTTGCCCGCTGCTTGGCCGGCGCCGCGGCCACAGACCCGACCCTCTTATGGCCGGAGCAACCGGGTGCAGGTGCAGGTCCTTGAGGAGCACCTGGAACCACAAGCCTGGCGGTGGGGGGAGGGGGTGGCCCTGCTCTGAACATGCGCTGGTGTCCCTTGAGTAAGCCGCCCTGTGCAGGTGACACCCCTTGCCTCCTGTCACTCACGTGAACACGTTACCACCACCCCCGGCCCAGCCAAGGCCACAGCAATGCGGTTTCCGCCCGCGGAGTCTGGCGAGGTCTCCGTAAAGAACTGGTACTAGGACAGGCGGCCGCAGGGGCTCACTCGGCAGGAACGCACCACCTGGCAAGGAGACCCTGCGGCAATAGGGCCGTCTCCCCCCCACAGCCTAAATCCCAGGTGGGCCTACCCGCGGCCCCTCCCGGCACCTGCCCCAGACGCCCGTTTCTCCTGGCCTCCCTGCTGCCACCTTGCGGCCACACGTGGTGATACCGCCTTCCCGCCCAAGCACACTTGAATTGATTCTTTTCGTTTTTATCTTAAAGTGTCCTTGGACCACCCTAGTCCATCATCTGAGGTGCTTGCTTACAATTCCTATTCCTAGGTTCCATCCCCAAAGAGCCCTGAGTTAGGAGGATGCCAGAGTTGGGGTGCCAGGGATCTGGTTTTTTCTTTAAGAAGCTGTCCGTGTTTGCGCTTGCACTTCCGTGCCTTGCCCATTGCGTCCTCACGCTAACCCGGGGAGGCGGTTACCGTTGTCCCGAAAGTACGAAGGAGGACTCTGGTCAGGCCCCCGGTCACTAGAGCGGGTGGGCAGTGACGCAGGAGCTTCAGCAGTCAGCTTTACTGATCATGTAACCTCGTGTTCCTTTCACACTTGACAAAACGCTTGCATGTCGGTCCTTTTGGGGTGTCCTTCCTCTACCTGTGAGGTCCCTCATCCTCGCCCCCGTGTTACAAGCGAGGACCCCAAAGGCCAGAGGGTCCATGCAGCTTGTCCCATTTCCCAGGCGGCCTTGAAGCCACTCCTTCCACGGCGAACAGCCTCACCCTTCCGCGCTCTCCCCTCCAGCCCCGCAGAGCGGATGTGCTGGGCGCAGCTCAGCTCCATGCACGCGGCCGGTGGGTGCACTGGCTTGGATCTGTGCTGCGGTCTATTCCATGGCCCCTGGGCCAGCGCCTGGGCCAAGGGTTCTGACAAATGCAGGGATTTATGGGACGTGAACGGGCCCTGCAAGTCCCTGCCCTAGCCCAGCCACTCGGATTCTAGAGCTGGATTAAACCGCGGCGGCCAGCAGGAGGGGGCGACCTTCGGGGACAGCAGCGTAGTCCGAGGGTAGCTGGGGCGCAGCGTCACTTGGCTTCCCTGTGTTACAAGAAGCAGCTCCACAGGCCAGGTGTCCTGGGGGCTTCCGTGAGGCCTGGGACAGACGGGGCCATGTCGCAGGCCAAGGCAGTTCTGGGGACCCACCACTCCCGCCTTTCCCACCGAGCTCTGCTCTGTGCTCCTCTGGATCCTGACCAGCCTGCCTTTTCTCGCTCCTTTGTAAGCCCTTCTGCGGTGTGGGCCCGGCTTTCTTGTGATAGCGGCTGCCCTCTTCGGGGGCAAAGTTCGGACTTTGTTCCTGCTGCCCTCCCAACCCCCTGCCCGAGGCCCTGAGGCTGCAGGTGCAGGCCAGGAACGGGCATGGGGTTGGCCTAAGACTGTCTCAGGGCTGGGCGCGGAGCTGGTGCGGGTGCGGAGCTCGGTGCTGGGGCGGGTGCAGGGCTGGGGGCTGGGCGCGGGGCTGGTGCGGGCGCGGAGCTGAGCGTGTCTTCCTCCAGGTTTGCTCAGGGTGATAAGTGCCGGAGGCACCAAGCTTCCTGCTCAGGTACCTGAGTCAGGCCTGGGCTTTGTGCTTCTATCATGAACACCCCAAAGCCTGACAGTTTTGTTCCTGGGGACGCCTTGACTTCCAGGCTGGACCCAAAGATTGCACCCTAACAGGCAGCTACTTCCTTCGCCCACTTGGAGCAGCGGCCGCCCTCCGTGGCCTGGCTGGATTCTTAGCCATCGGTCCCCTCACGGTGGAGATCCCCAAGCTGGTCTGATGAGGCCCCCTCTGCACACAACAGAAAGAGCCCCCCTTCCTGCTGTCAACAGGGAGAGTGGGTTCAGCTGAGCCAGGACAGTGCCTAGCTGACCCCGGTTCCTACACTGTCCCCCTCACTAGCACCCACGTTCTCTGATTGCTGAGACCTTGCTGGCTTACTGTGTTCGGAGCACAAGGGCCAGAGCCTCGCACATCAGAAGCACTCGACAAACTGAACAGATAAGTCAGTGCAAACGAAGGAACATCTTCCCAGCTCCGTCCCTCCTTCTCCAACCAGGGGACCCCAGAGGATCTACCAGGTACCTAGAGACGCCCACCCTCTGGCCAGGGTTGGTGGGTCCAGGGGAGGACACCGGCCCAAGCCCGGCCCGAGGAAGTCCTTCCCTGACAGTGTTGTCCGGCAACGACTCAGGAAGCAGGGTGCGCTCTGCTGGGGGCACCGGACAGGACGCTTACATGCGGGGGCATGGGGCAGCTGGTCGCCACACGGAGAGAGACAACGCACTGGGGACACACAGACCAGAGAAGGTCTTGGCCTCCCCACCCCTGACCGGGCTACGCTCACCATCACCTGCAGGCTGGTTGTTCAGCACTTCCTTTGAACGAGTCACCTCTGCATCTTTCCAATAAATTTCCCTTTGACTTAAAAGTAGTAGCATTAGGGGCGCCTGGGTGGCTCAGTTGGTTAAGCGACTGCCTTCGGCTCAGGTCATGATCCTGGAGTCCTGGGATCGAGTCCCACATCGGGCTCCCTGCTTAGCAGAGAGTCTGCTTCTCCCTCTGACCCTCCCCCCTCTCATGCTCTATCTCATTCTCTCTCTCAAATAAATAAAATCTTTAAAAAAAATAGCATTAAAAAAAGCAAACTAGCATAAAGAAAACAAAAATGCCCCATAACACAATACCCAGAAAGATCCTTCTGACAATAAAAAAGCAACGCATGCTGTCCTTTAGATGTAGGAATGGCAAACGTTATTACACGGATTCTCCCTCTCCCCCACACCGCGGGCCTGCAGACCCCTCCAGGCTGCCTGGCCCGCAGCGCCCTCCCTCCGCCCATCAGCGCTGGCCAGACCGGCCTAGGCAGCTCCCCCTGCCATCCCCAGAACTTAGCGAGCAGCTTGGCAGACGGCAGGTCTTTGATAAAAGTGTAGGTAATTCATGAATTCATAATTCCACTCTTGCGCAGGTCTGAGCCATTTGCTCCCAGAATACAGCATTTTCCTGCCCTCCAGGACCAAGGAGGGACATTACTGGGAGAGGTTCACAGGTTGGTGGCATTGAGAGCAAAGTACTAAGGAGTCAGGGAGACAGGGGAAGGCAGGAAACTAAAAAGGCATAAAGCAGGGGCCTGCGGAGTGCAAAGGAAGGTCTGAAATACAAGAGCAAATGAATGGCCTCAAGGTCAAATTAAGCCGACCTAAAACCTGAGGGTAGTTACTGCCCCACCTAATAGGGCCTTCTGTTAAAATTATAAAGCGTAGGGGCACCTGGGTGGCTCAGTCGTTAAGCGTCTGCCTTCAGCTCAGGTCATGATCCCGGGGTCCAGGGATCGAGCCCCGCATCGGGCTCCCTGCTCTGCGGGAAGCCTGCTTCTCCCTCTCCCACTCCCCCTGTTGTTTTCCCTCTCTAGCTGTCTGTCTCTGTCAAATAAATAAATAAAATCTTAAAAAAAATTATAAAGTGTATACCATGTACAAGTATGTATAGAAAACATTTGTACAGTTAAAAGAGCAATAATAAACACATGCCCACCATCCACCGTCCCTGGAAACCTCTCGGTGCCCCCCACCCCCCGACAGACTACCCCGCACCCTTCTCAGCGGTAACCGTTATCCCGAAATTTCAATTCTTCTGTTTTCCTTCCAGTCATGACAACCTACCTGTCCCAATGTTTGAGCATCTGTAATGGAATAATAATGTGTCTCTTCAAAAAAATAAACACACGCTATCACTAGAAACACAGAAAAGTCCAGATAGACGTGATGAAACTCGAACCTTTCTTGTTGAATCGCTAGGTCGTACACTTGACACCAACGTAACATTGTGTGCCAAGTAGACGAAAAAACACAAAATCACATCATTCCTCCTTCCACCCAGTTCCTCTCCCCAAAGGCTAATAGCTTCTGTTAAATGTGCATCTTTCCTTTTTTTTTTTTTAAGATTTTTTTTTTATTTGAGAGAGAAAGAGACAGAGCACAAGCAGGGAGAGGGGCAGAGGGAGAGGAAGAAGCAGATGCCCCGCTGAGCCGGGAGCCCGATGCAGGGCTCGATCCCAGGACCCTGGGATCCTGATGGGAGCCGAAGGCAGACGCTTAACGACTGAGCCCGCCAGGCGCCCCTGATGTGCATCTTTCTAGACGAAGTCCTGCACGTGTGTGTATGTGCATATACATGGATTCAGAAGCAACCGAGCGTTTACTTCCTGCAACTTCTCACCTGGTCTGTGGCGCAGCGTGTGGCCCGCGCCCCGGGGGCCCCTTATTCCCCTGAGATGCTGCGCAGTGCTCCGTGGTACGCATGCGCCCCACGTAAGGGATCCCGCCCCGACCGGTAGACACTGAAGATGCGGACCATTCTGGGTTCTGCGGTCACCTGCTCTGCGGCGTGAGCAGAATTATGCATTCCTCTTTGCTCTGCTTTTGCAAATGTATCCAGAGGGCAAATTCCTAGCAGGGAAACAGCGGAGACAAAAAGTTCATGTGTTAACAAAACAAAACCCCAAAAAACGTTGGTGCCTTTTGCCCAACTCTTCTCCAAAAAAAGCATCCACCCGCTTACACCATTCACGCCAATGGAGTACGAGAATGCTTGTCTTCCTCGCGCCCTCCCCAGGACAGAACAGCATCAAGCTTGACAATTTTTGCCAAACCCGCGGGTGAAGGCTATCTTGTTACATTGATTTACCCATGCTGATGAAGAGGATTGAGCTGCTTTTGTTCAGTATAAGAGAATCTGAAGATAAAATAGTACATTAATATAGAAAATAAGCCTTAATCAGATAAATCCCGTTGGGACAACTAGAAAACCCATCATCAAAATAACCACCAGACCCTCGGCTCCCGACTGCTGCTCGGTGGGCCAGATAATCTGAATATAAAATGAAATCAAGAAAGTCCTACATAAAGCCAGCAGCAGCGTATTCCTTATCTTGAAGGGAAGAAGGCCTCTTTCTTCCCTCCCCTGCAGCCCCAAATCAGAGACCATAAAGAAAAACCACAAAATACTTCTGTAAGGTCCAAACCATAAACCAAAGGCAAGCAAATGACAAACCCAGAGCTGCCGACTCATCTCCTCTGTTCCTGAAAACCATCCAAGGCTCATGAGGTGGTGGGGCACCTGGGCCACTGGGCGCCTCCCCAAGGGTAACAGCACCACCGATGGGGAGCGGGGAGAGACGCTTGGAGGGGGGCAGTGGTCCTGGTGTCGGAGGGGAACGCAGACCTGAGCAGGAGGGCCACTGGTTCCTCAGGAGAGAGATGAAAACGGGAAGACTCCATACTAAGAATCTTCCACAGGGAGGAGCCGAAACAAGAGAGACAGAGATGGGGGAGGTAGAGGTGAGAGGGAAGGCAGAGGAGGGGGGATCTGGGGCGGTCGACGCAGCCAGGGGTCCCCCCGGCCCAGGAGGACGCCCACACCCTCCCCAGGACGTGACCTCTTTACTCACGTGGCTACAAAGTCTGGGGGACTCACGGGTGCAGGAGAGGAGGAATGCACTCTGGCCACCTGATTCCAGGTCTCCTGTAAGTTCTCCTCTGAGAACAGACGGTGCATTCCAGGGAACCTTCTAGAACGTCGTGGGCTTGGCTCCAGAGAGAGAGGGCCGTTTGGAGCATGACTGCTGCCACGCAGATCCTGCCGAGGATTCTGGAAGCCCAGGAGAACGTGGTTCAGAGTCTGAGAAGAGCCACCACTAGGAATGCCCGGTTCCTCCCCAACCCCAAGAGGGGGCCATCCTCACAGGGAAAAGGCGCGAGAAGCCTCGGTGGACTCTTCCCACTGGGGATCCTCTTCTGTGAACACACAGTATCTACTCGTATTTGAAGTAAGTGGAACTCAACTATTTTTAAAAAGCCACGGGTGCGCTTCTCTGTGTATAAATTATGACTCCATTTCTAAAAGTTGAAAAAATAATAATAAAAATAAGACCTGGGGCACCTGGGTGGCTCAGTCGTTAAGTGTCTGCCTTCGGCTCAGGTCATGATCCCAGGGTCCTGGGATCGAGCCCCACATCGGGCTCCCTGCTCGGCGGGAAGCCTGCTTCTCCCTCTCCCACTCCCCCTGCTTGTGTTCCTGCTCTCGATATCCCTCTCTCTGTCAAATAAATAAATAAAATCTTTAAAAAAAACCACACACACACAATTCCTATTTTCCTTCCATGTTCACATCCTCGCCTTCCCCTCCTTACAATTATGGGCACACACTTCTGACACACAGGCCATGTTCTTGGGAAGGTTTTTGTCTTGCCCGACCGTATTTTCCTTCCAAAAGTCCCCTCGGTCCCGTGATGAGATCACGAAAAAGACCCTTCATTTGATATTCTTTGTTAGGAGAGAACTAGTCATCAAGAACGTTTCTCCTGCCAATACTCTACTCCACATCAGCGATGGCAAACAGCGGGCCTATAGTCGACTGAGAAGGATTCAGTTCTACTCGGGGCGCTTGGGTGGCTCAGCCAGTGAAGCGTCTGCCTTCGGCTCAGGTCGAGATCTCAGGGTCCTGGGATCAAGTCCCACGTCAGGCTCCATGCTCAGCAGGGAACCTGCTTCTCCTTCTCCCTCTGCTACTCCCCCTGCTTGTGCTCGCTCGCTCTGTCAAATAAATAAATAAAATCTTTTTAAAAAAATTCAATTCTACTCATTTGAACGGAAGCAACATAAAGGGAGATCCATTCACACCCATCAGGACTGACCACTGTCATGCCTTTGAAAGCTGTCTCTGTATTAAATGAATTAGATAACATGTCACATTTTGATTAAATGTGACCAGTTTTTACAGAAGACATTTGTTTTACTGATCATTTGATCCTTTCTCTTTTTTTAGTTTATTTTTAAAAGATTTTATTTATTTATTTGAGAGAGACAGAGAGAGCACAAGCAGGGAGAGCGGCAGGCAGAGGGAGAGGGAGAAGCAGGCTCCCGGCTGAGCAGGGAACCCTGATGTGGGACTCGATCCCAGGACCCTGAGATCATGACCTGAGCTGAAGGCAGATGCTCAACCAACTGGGCCACCCAGGCATCTCCTAAGATTTTAGAGAGAGGGAGGAAAGGGAGAGGGAGAATCTTCAGCAGGCTTCACACCCAGCACGGAGCCTGACGTGGGGCTCGATCTCATGACCCTGAGATGATGACCAGAGCCAAAATCAAGAGTCAGAAGCTTAACCAACTGAGCCACCCACGCACACCCTAAAGATTTTATTTTTAAGGAATCTCTACCCCCAGTGTGGGCTCAAACTCATGACCACGAGATCAAGGGTCACACGCTCCACCTACGGAGCCAGCCAGGCGCCCCCTTGTTTGATCCTTTCTATTTAATAGCATGTAAAACTGATTTTTAAAGGGAAGATATGATCAAAGTTACACTGATTTTCTCCCTGTGGTCTAAAAGCAGAGAACACATATTCCTGCATTTGACTGTTAATTTTTTCAGCCACATCATTGTAAACATGGGGAGAGCCTTTGTTGGACAAGAATCTGAAACAGGAGATTCTCACTGCTTTATCCCAAGGCTGGGTTTTTAAATTCATTTTATTCATTCGTTACTAAAAATAAGTGCCACTTTATATGTGGAAGGTGGGGAGGGGTGATATCAGTAAAAGTAGAAAGAAGCAGTTACAAAGCTCAGCTAGTGATGTCCATGTAACAAAAGACCCCCCCCCTCCACCTACTGATGCCCCGGAGGCTTTATAGGTGATTTCTACCAAACATTCCTTCGGATCATCTAATTTCCCACAAGTTCTTCCCCAAAACAGAAAAAGAAGGCAAGCCAACTCCTTTTAGGAAGTTCCGACTTCAGCGAAGGACACCACAGGTCTCATTCACTTATGAACATAAACATGAACATCCTACATACAATACGGGCCAACCACATCCAAAAGTTGACTGCAAAAGAAACTGTCCAGCCTGATTACATCCAAATGCAGGGGTGACATGCATTCTTTCCTCCCAATGGAACCCCATCTTGTTGAGGGCAGCCGCGCGTGCCCAGCCAGAAGCACCGTGATCCATTTCTGACCAAGGTCTCTAGAAGTCTGCAAGGGGCCAGGGCTGCCAGCAAAGTCTGTCCTTTGCTGGTAAAAGGAGAGTCACCTAAGGTAAAGTGTTTTTGTGCTTTTGCTCCTGCTCCTTCCCTTCCACCACTGGATTCATGCCTTTGAGGTGGTAGCCATGTTGCCACCATGAGGTGACTGGGCTGAGGACAGAAGGCCAGTGTGCCAGAGATGGCCCATTAGAAGGATGGGCTCCTGGGACGCCTGGGTGGCTCAGTCCGTTGGGCGACTGCCTTCGGCTCGGGTCATGATCCCAGGGTCCTGGGATCGAGTCCCGCGTCAGGCTCCCTGCTCGGCGGGGAGTCTGCTTCTCCCTCTGCCTGCCGCTCCCCCTGCTTGTGCTCTCTCTGACAAATAAATATTTAAAAAAAAAAAAGAAGGATGGGCTCCTTCCTACTGAATGACGCCATTGAGCTACCAGACCAGCCTGGGAGGGCCCATCTCTCTGCTGGTTGAGAAGTTAATAGCCGTGGGGGGGACCAGCATCTGGCTCAGTCAGAGGAGCATGCAGCTCTTGATCTCGGGGTCGTGAGTTTGAGCCCCACGTTGAGCATAGCGATTACTTAAATAAATAAACTTAAAAAAAAAAAGTTAATGCCCTTGGTTTTAAGAAAGCTTTGCTGGTATTCTGTGACACACAGCTGAGACCATTTCTACCAATTCAAATGGTTTATCATCAGAAAGTCTACCCATATTATTAACTGCGCTAGTGGATTCACAGAGAAAGACCCCCACGCTTCTTTGATTAGAAATAGGAAAACCCACAGAGTGTAGTGTATAATGTCAGCTTTTAAAAACTTCAGAAAACAACATCCTGAACTTAAGCAAACCACTGGAACCAAGAGGAGAGCCAGGGACTTTGCCGGATGCTAGAAACACTTATAAATGCCACTCGCTCTCCTCAGTACTGGCAATAATCAGCTTGAAGCTATAGAAAACAAACTATCACAACAGTAACAGAATCTATAAAGTATTCAGAACTCAACTTCACTTATTTTTTTTAGAGACTTATATATGCCTTTGAGAGAGACGAGGAGAGAGAGAGAGAAAGAGCAGGGGGACAGAGAGAGAGTCTCAAGCAGACTCCAAGCTGAGCGCAGAGCCTGACACCAGGCTCGATCCCACGACCCTGAGATCATGACCTGAGCCGAAACCAAGAGTCGGACGCTTAACTGACTGAGCCACCCAGGCACCCGAGAACTAAAATTTATTAAGGATGTTCTTCACATTTATGTAAAACCTTTATGGAAAAAAACGTAAAACCGTTAAAGGCCATAAAAGTTCAGTGTAAATGGGGAGATAAACCCTTGGTTTGGATGCGCCGACTCAACATTATAAAGATGACAGTTCTCCCCCAAATAATCTGCAAGTTAAATTCTTAGGAACTTGAGGAGGAACTCATTCTAAAATGTTCCTGACAGTCTAGAGGCACCTGGCCAGCTCATTCGGCAGAGCGCGTGACTCTTGATCTCAGGGTTGTGAGTTCGAGCCCCACGCTGGGTGTAGAGATTCCTTAAATAAATAAATTTTTCTTTATATAAAAAGATGAAATGTTTATGATAGTAAAAAGGTCCATGAATAGCCAAAGAAAAGGGGAAGGACTCACCCTGCCGGATATTAAAACACACCACGGAAGTTAGAGCAAACAAGTAACAACAAACTCATACACGAAATACACAAAGACACAGCTATAGCGTATTTCTTAGTTGCTGACAAACTGTGGGAAGCCAGTAGGAGCCGCCCATGCACACACACAAGAGTGGTTATGGGCCAACAGTGGAGTGACATCAGGAAGGACAGGTTGGATCAGCAGACAGGGCAAGCAGCTCCCTCCCTCTGGGGAGGAAAAAAAAGAAAGAAAGCTGTATCCCTAAGTCCCACCACACGCAAAAGTAAACTCCAGGTGGAGGAAAGACTTCAAAACAACGGGAAACCTAAGGCCAACAGAGGAGAATGGGGACGAGTATTTTTGTGACCTTGGGTGGGATTCTCTGAAACAAGATACCAAGACCACGAACCATAAAAGGAAATGTTGATGGCCTGAATACATTACAGTTAAGAATTTCTGCTCAACAAAGGACATCACACCCTCCCGCCGGAGCCTGCTGACTGCCAAGCTCGGGACCAGGGACCAGCGACCAGCTCGGTCAAGCGAGGGAATGGGGAGGGGGTGTGTTCTCCAGCAGTGGTGTCTTTCAGCAAGCGTGCAGGTAGGATTTTGGCGGGCTCACTGGTAAAGCATATCATTGTGAGGCAGGAGACACAGGGAGAGAAGCCAAAGGAGGCATCTTACTGGGTGCGGTCATTCCTCTTCAGTCCACGGAACAGTGTCTACCCCTTCAGTTTGCCCAAGTTTGCCACCTGGAGGGGTGGACGGATGTTAAAACAAAGCATCACGATCACTTTGGCAGGGCTGTAGGCATTTACAATACAGCAACTAATCCAGCCTAGAGAGCTCAAAGACCAATCCCCCTCCTGGATTTCCCAGAGCTGGAGCCATCAAATCCACCATGGCCCCACTGAGGGGCCCATCCTTAGAGCCCAAGAGACCCCTGGAGGCGGCCCAGTTAGTGGCTTCCCCAGGCCAACACCGGGTGGAAACTCTGTCCCACCTGATGACACCCAGGATCCGTTCCGTGAATCCCTGCTTCTGATTCTAATGTTTTTGTTTTAGTCGGGTTCTTCCGGCTACAAGGAAAAGGAATACATTTAAATCACCTAAAAAGAGTTTCTCAACCTTCCCGGCGATAATCGAATCCTGCAAGGGTCATTGATGGGTGCTGCAATTTATAGGCCACGGTTTAATTGGGAACAGGATATTTACATGGCATCAAAATATCTCCCCACAAAAGGGCTTCTTAGCGACAAAAGGAAAAACAGGATCTTGACCATGGGAAAGCACGGTGGATTCCACCTTAACCACGTAGCAGAGTGATCATGGCCAGAACTAGGTCAAATTGATATGAAGTGTTTCCTGATATGATTGTCCCAAGAAAGCCACCTCACTTCTGTGATACTGAAACACACCAACCACGAGAAACGTCACACAGACGGAGGGAAATTCTACATAATCGAGGGACATTCTGTGCAGTTACTGGACTGTGGTTTTCAAAAATGTCAAAGTCCAAAGAATAAAGGCAGTTTAAGGAACTATAGGAAACCAAAGAGCTGTGGTCCCGGGTGGGACCCTGGGACATTTTTTGGACAGTCAGCAAAATGGGAACACGAACTGTAGACTGGATAATACTAGTGCATCCATACTGAATCTCCCGAAATTCATAAGCAAACTGCAGTTATGTAAGAAAATGTCTTTGTTTTTAGGAAATCCACATGGAAATGTGAGAGGCAAAGGGGCACGATGTCTCCACGTTCATCTCAGTTCAGGCAATAACGCTTGAGAAAGAGTGATAAAGCAAACAAGACAAAATGTTAACAAATGGTGAGTCTGGCTCAGGTTGATACATAAAATTAACCCTCACATGGTATGTTTATTGCCAACCGTGAGAAATTGAGTAGTTACCAGTAAAAAGTAGCCAAAGCCACCAGGGAGATTTCTGCTTCTGGGAAGATGGGGTGGATGTGCTTTTCCCCTGTTCGGCCCATTAAGTCCAACTAAACTCCGGAACATTCTATATAAACATAAGAGGTGAAGGAGTCAGCAATTAGAACCGAATAGACAAAATAATAATAGACAAAATAATAATGATAATAATACCCCAACAAAAGCCTGCTCTCTCTAGCCAAAGGACCAGGGGAGGGGTAGCCTAACAAGGCAGAACTTGGAAAATACGGGGAGCCTGGGTGGCTCAGTCGGTTAAGCGTCTGCCTTCGGCTCACCTCATGATCTCAGGGTCGCCGGATGGAGCCCCACATTGGGCTCCCTGCTCGGTGGGGAGTCTGCTTCTCCCTCTCCCTCTGCCTGCCACTCGCCCTGCTTGTGCCCGTTCTCCGACAAATAACTAAACAAACTCTTAAAAAAAAAAAAACAACTTGGAAAATCACCACTCTATTCCAAATACCACAAACTGTGGCCACACCCACACCTGCAAAGGCCAAAGGGTGAGCCCAGATTTCCACCCTCCTCAGGCTTGTCATGAGTCACCCCAACATCCCTGCCAGGGAGGGGGGCTCTCTGGGAAGGCCAAGCAGGGGAGCGGGGACTTTGCCCGAGCCAGCGGGTAACCACAGGGGGGACTTGAACTTCGAACGCCGCCTGGCGGCGCCTTTCCTCACCAGAGCGGTGTCAGAAAAAGCCAGCTAGAACAGAAGGTTTTAGACCCAGACTCTCATCAAATAATACAAAAATGGCCACGTTTCCATTAAAAAAAAAAATCATTACTCATACCAAGAACCGCAAAGACCTTGAGATGAATAACAAAAACAACCAGCGGCTGCCAACAGCCAAAGGACAGAGGTGTGAGGATTCTCTGGAAAATATTTTAAAGCAGCCACGATAAAAATGCTTTAACAAGACGTTATGGATACGCTTGAGACAGATGCAGACCCGACTTCAGCAAAAGCATAGAAGATCTAAAGAAGGACCAGAGGGAGACTGTAGAGCTGAAAGGCAGGACAGCTGAAATTAAAGCTCAGGGAGTGGGCCCCGCAACACAATGGAGAGAACAGAGAAAAGAATCAGTGGGCTGGAAGATACAACTATAGAAATCACCCTTTCGGAACAACAGAGAGAAAACAGACTCCTAAAGGGGGGGGGGGGGCGCCCGGGTGGCTCAGTCGGTGAAGCGTCTGGCTCTTGATTTCAGCTCAGGTCAGGATCTCAGGGTCCTGGGATCAAGTCCACATGGGGACTCTACTTGTCCCTCTACCCTCTGGTCCTACCCCCTTTTCCACTTGTGCTCTCTCTCTGTCTCTAAAATAAATAAATCTTAAAAAAGGAAGTCTCAGGAAGCTCTGGGACTCTAATAAAACATCTGCCATGTTGAGCTGGGAGCCCCATGCAGGACTCGATCCCAGGACCTGGAGATCATGACCTGAGCCAAAAGCACACACTTAACCATCTGAGCCACCCAGGTGTCCTGAGAGACTACCCAAATTTGTAAAGAAACATAAACAGACATGCAAGAAGTCGAGCAAACCCCAAATAGAACAAACCCAAAGAATAACACAAAAAGAGGCACCTGGGTGGCTCGATCGGTTCAGCATCTGACTCTTGATTTTGGCTCAGGTCATGATCTCAGGGTTGTGAGATTGAGCCCCGCATCAGGCTCCACTCTCAGTGAGGAGTCTGCTTGAGATTCTATCCCTACCCTTCCCCCTGCTCATGCTCACTCTCTCTCTCTAATAAATAAATAAAAAATAATTAAAAAAAAAAAAAGAATAACCCAAAGATAAACTCCCCAAAATAAACACACAACTACCATATGACCCAGAAATTGTACCCCTGGACATTTTCCCAGGGAAATGAAGACTGATGTTCACACAAAAATCTGTACACTAATGTTTAAGGCAGATTTATTTATAACAGCTAACAACTGGAATCAGCCCAGATGGCCTTCAGTTATTGAATGGTTAAACTGTGGTACATCCATGCAATGGAATACTACCCAGCAATGAAAAGAAATGAACTACCAACACATGCTACAAACTATGAATCTCCACAGAAGTATGCTGAGTGAAAAAAAGCCCACTCCCAAAGGTCATATTCTGTATGATCCCATTTATAGAACATTTTCTTAAAGATTTTATTTATTTATTTGACAGAGAGAGACACACAGAGAGAGGGAACACAAGCAGGGGGAGTGGGAGATGGAGAAGCAGGCTTCCCGCCGAGCAGGGAGCCCGATGGGGGCTCGAACCCAGGACCCCGGGATCATGACCTGAGCTGAAGGCAGACGCCCAACGACTGACCCACCCAGGTGCCCCTATAGCACATTCTTGATGCAACAAGATTATAGAAATGAAGAACAGAGCAGTGGTTGTGGATAAAGGGTACACAGGATCTCTGTCTTATTTCTTACAATTGCACGTGAATCTAATGTTTAAAAATTCACCTGAAATTTAAAAAATACCTTTGCAGACAACTCTACTTAAAAAAAAAAAAAAAGGAAAATATAATCTTTACCTCTTTTTTTTTTTTAA